ATCTCACTCTTTTTATGTTACTCAATCCCCCTTTCCTTCTTACTCTTTCTTACAGCGCATAGAGACATACATTATATTGTGGTATGCGCCATTACAAGTACGGTTTATTATTATCATTATAACATATTTTTATATTGCTATAATTCTTTGTCGCATTACTCTATTCGTTACTTCCTCCTTTCCGCTCGTAGATTAAACAATAAAAATATAAATGACTTAATCGCAGCACGTTTTCACACTTTCCATAGCAACGCGAGCAAACGAAGTTCCGTTATTATGAAGCGAAAATACGTTTGAAGGCTGACGGAGCCGTGCTGTATTAAGACAACCAAGAACAGTGATATTAATAATTACTATCCGATGATCTATTATTAAATGAACTCTCTCCGCACTTTTCTCTCCTGCAGAGTCTGATGTAAGTCGGTTCACACTGTGACGTAGCGTAGCGTGTGTAGAACGCTGGGGGAGGGGGAGGGGGAGGGGGGGGGGGGGGGCTCATTATTATTGTATTGTTTCGTGGTCGTTTTATATTCAAAGTAAAAATCAAAATCTGTCAAAGCAGACTGCTTTACAACGAGTCCCTGCACTTTGTCCTTAAAAAAACAAGTAAAAAGAATGCAATATCATTGAAAAACACATATTTACAAATTTAAATCTCTACTGACAAATGTTTGAAGCAAAAAAGAAGTTTAAAAAAGTCATATTATACTCATCAAATTGTCGAGAATACTATACAACTTATAATTTGTACTCAACCCCCTTTGCTTCCAGTATGAATTGAACAAAAATCGATAGAGCCGATTCATTTGACACATTGAGTATTTATATAATTGTCAATCCGTCGATTAACACAAGGCAATATATTGAAAAGTTTATACTTGTGTAAAGACCACCATCAACCAACCAGTTGAGCTCCCTTCACCTACATCAGCGATGAGAGTTGGACATAATATTCCCCTCCCTTTTTTTCCCCTCCCTCTCTCTCTCTCTCTCTCTCTCTCTCTCTCTCTCCCTCTCTCTCTCTCTCTCCCCCCTCTCTCCCCCTCTCTCTCTCTCTCTCTCTCTCTCTCTCTCTCTCTCTCTCTCTCTCTCTCTCTTCATCCACCCTTCGCTGTACGTCTGAGTGACGCTTTTCTGATCATGCTGATTACCGTATTTCCTTGACATTTCAAAAAATAATTCGGTAATCATGCGGTGCGACTGTTTTTAATCAAAGTTCTAGTTTGGAAATAATTCTCCTTTAATTCTCTCCCAGAGTGGATTGAGAGGAGATTTAAGGCATTTGTTGTGAGGGGGTGGTTCAATTATGCATCTGTTCCAGAAGCTCAGTATTAAGACTTATCTTACACACTAAGTGGACAAAATGAAGAATAATGAAGGGATGTTTGTTGTATTCGACCAATATTTGAGCGCTCATACGCCAAACTATCGACATAAATACCAATGTTGAATATGCTACTGGCGATGCGATTGCATTTGAAAACAAAATGAATACAAGTCATTGATGAATGTTATTTATACATCCGACATGGGGAGCTTTGCATTTTGAAAATTTCGAATCATAGAAATGATCAAAAAGTTTAAAACCGTGTGTTTTTTGGGGTGAAAAATATAGAATATAGAATAGAGGGAACAAAATTGGTATTGACCATGAACACTGAACGGTATGCAATACGGAGAGAAAGGTAGGTGTATTATTCTTCACGATGAATTATTATGTCAAAGATAAAGTTGAGTTCATGTCATGTGATTGCATTGTAAAATAAACGTTGTGGAATCGATAAGAAAAGGTTGATCATCTAGCATATAAGTATTGGTGTGTACTGCAAGGTTCTGGAATCATCAAAATGGTCCAGTCTCGGTAAAGTTACAAGCACTATTCACAGAAAAATGTATATGGGACTATACGAACATGCGGCATAAAAATCCGTCCCGATTTGTATGATGTTATATATGCCATATTTAGAATATTATGGCATTTGAAGAGCCATGATTTTCAGGGAACATTTTTTTATCAGATGTTCTTCCACACTTGTATAATAAGAATGATAACGCTCACAAATTATTTTTCACCTCTACCCAGAACTCAACCTTCTCTTTAAGTTTGATGCATTAGGGATGGAAGCATGGAATCGATGTGATCGATCGCATGTGCGAATAACGAAGATAAAGGGCGGGAAAAATGTAAACAGAAATGTGTGGGAATCCGTATCCAAGGAGCAGATGGCTAATGTTTATTTTATGATCCCCTAACCTGAATATTGGAAAGACTGTCGATCATAATCCCAATTAATCGCATTCGTAATCAAACCTGACGTACATGAATTTTTCTTTATCATTAATTTGGACTCCTTTATGTCAATCAAACCAATTCTTAAAGCCTCAATCCACAGTTATTTTGGTATTTCCTTTAAGTATCTTAAAATGTTGATGATTAATCGACTAATATCTGTTTTGAATCGTTGCTTTTTATCTTGCTCTTTCTATAAAATGCTTAACATATTCAGCCTTGTCTACCGGCTGCTTACGATCGGATGGTCTCAATGTCACTTTCAACTCATTTCCCCGTTCTCACGTTCTTGGCTTTCTTTTCTTCTATCCTGGCTCTCTCTCTCTTCTTCTTCTTCTTCTTCTTCTTCTTCTTCTTCTTCTTCTCTCTCTCTCTCTCTCTCTCTCTCTCTCTCTCTCTCCCCTCTCTCTCTCACTCTGTCTACCTGTCTGTGAATTTCATTTCTCTGGCTCAATCTCGTTCTTTCTCTCTCCTCCCCTCCCTCCCCTCTGAATCTCTTCCTATTTATCGCTATCTACCTATTGTTCTCTTGTTATTGCTTTACTCTCCTGTCCTTCTCGTCATCAGCCCTCCTCCCTCCATCCCTCCTCCCCATCTCTCCTTGTCTCTGAGTGTAAGGCACTCTCTAACCATTTTCTCTCTTTCTCTTTTACCCCTCCCTCTCCCATCTCACTCCCCTATCTCTCGCGGTCTCTCTGTGTAACGCACTCTCTACCTATTTTCTCTTGTCCTCTCTTTCTCCTGCCCTACTTAATTTTCCTCCCTGCCTTTCGTTTTCTGCCTCTCCAACTGTCTCTGTTTATCGCCTGTCCCTCCTCCCCCCCCCCTCTCTCTCTCTCTCTCTCTCTCTCTCTTTCTCTCTGCCTCTCCATCCCTTTCTCCCCTCCATCCCTCCTCTCTATCTTCCTCTTCACCCCTTCCCCCTCTCGTCACCCCCGCAGCTCTCTGCTTACTCACATGTATTTTACCTTCTCTCTGCCACCGTCATATACTCGTCTTTTGGCAACATTATCCATTTTGTCCTTGAACTTAATTGCATCACAAAAAACAGCGCATGGAGATTTAAAAAAAAACCCACATCCAACCCGCAAAAAGCTCTAATGGAACAACATCGTCATATTAGCGTGTACTGGGGTGCGGCAGAAATTTTACATTTCATTATTTAAAAAACACCGAACAATTAGTAAACACTTTTCGCTGGACCTACGTTTCAACGATCTTGTATTTGTTATTCTTCATGGGAACCGTTGCTACTCTCGTAAAATCAGTTTGCGTTGTGATTCGCAAAATCGCTAACTTTACACATGTAAAAGCTCTTTCTGTTTGATCCTCATTTTAGAAAGAAATACTGGATTGACAAAAAAAGAAAGCGGACTCTCTAGAAGTCCTGGAATCGCTGCTACTCTCGTGCGAAGAAGCACTTTGCGTTTTGATACGAAAATCGTTAACTTTCACACATGTAAAAGCTCTTTTTGTTTGATCCTCATTTTATACAAAAATACTGTATTGATAAAAAACGAAAGCTGACTCTCTGGAATAACATTGGCGCCACCATTATAATTTCAACACATCCAGATGTGTTGATTTGACCATAATAGAGATTGATTTTTTACCCTTTTCTCACTTGAGTTTTTCTCATGATATGCACGCGTCGAGATCGATACGGCGCGTGGTTGGAGGAGGCTCTTATGGTGGAGCGGCTCCTGTGAACCTAGGAGGAGGAGGTGGAAGTGTGGCGGAACATCTTGAGGTGGGGAAGATGGTGAAGATAGAAGGAGGATGGGGAAAGGGTGGATGTCTATCTATCGCTGAGGGTAGCGAGTTTATGCTGTTTACCATTAACTTGGTTAACAGCTAGCAGTTTGAGACTGAAGATAAGCACCATCTATTTTATGAAATATTGTTTGTTTAACACCCGGGGGATACTCAGATTTGGTTTGGGCGGGGGTGTGCCGCTCAAGCCTCGAAACCCCTATCCATTAATAGGGGTCATTTTGGGGCATGTTTCTCGAAAAAAAGACCCATGTTCCACAATTTTCGGGTGTTTTCCAGGTGAACACGACTGCTAAGAAAGCATGTGAATGCTTGTAAGCATCCAGTGGACTGGCGGCTTACAGTCTACTCCGAGGGACTTGGTAAGGAGGATTAATGCCGTACCAAAGGGTTCTGGCACATCGACTTGGTTTCGAACTCGGAGCCACTGCAGTGCTCTATCCCTGAGCTATGACACCATAAGCCGCTATACATTTAACTGATGTAACAAGCCGGTAATCAATACAAATGAACAATAATTTGGATTAGGAACATAATAATATAAATATTTGTCCCCTTTCCCACAATGGTGACATTAATGATGGAGCCAACAAGAGGAAATAGATGAATGAATACATGGGTGAATAGATAATAAATGAATGAAAAAATAAATAAATAAACAAATTAGATTAATAAATAAACAAATAACTCAGACATTACCTCAGTCAGAAAGTAACTAATTAACTAGTTGACTAAATAACTAACTAACTAAATAAATTAAGGATCAACTACGTAACCAACTAACTAACCACCTAACTTACTATTGGAATGGATACATGAATAAATAAACAAATAAATATTTCAATACCTAATACAATAAAATAATAAATAAATACATATAATGATAAAATAACCTTGTTGACATGAAACAACGACTGGTAAATGTGAAATTCGTTACCTCAGCTGAAGCACGTAGATATAGATGTCCTGGGTGTTGCCTCTGCTTTCTGAAAGTTGCCCTTTTTGTTGGGTGACACTTGGAGTAGTCTATCCAATTTCCTCTAGTCCGGCACTCGAGAGTATCAGTAGGTGAGAGGGACGCGTGGTGAATACGTAATCGTAGTATAGCCCTTCTGAATCAGGTCGATCGTCTACAGATTGGGAAGAGAGAGAGAGAGAGAGAGAGAGAGGGGGGGAAAGAGAGAGAGAGTTAGAGAGAGTTAGTGAAGATAACAGAGGTATAGGGGAGTTGGAGGAGGAAGAAGGTGCGTGAGGGAGAGAGTGATAGATGGAGAGAGAGAGATAGAGAGATTATAAATAATCATAATTATGGGAAATCATAGTGGGAAATCATAATTAAAGTGGGAATATATATTATATATTATATAAACATATAGAGAGAGAGGGGATAGAGAGAGAGAGAGAGAGAGAGAGAGAGAGAGAGAGAGAGCAAGAGAGAGAGAGATATCAAGAGAGAGATATATATCAAGAGAGAGATAGAGAGAGATTATAAAGAATGATTAAAGTGGGAAATCATAATCAAAGTGGGAATATATATTATATATACATATAGAGAGAGGGGATATATATATATATATAGAGAGAGAGAGAGAGAGAGAGAGAGAGAGAGAGAGAGCAAGAGAGAGAGAGAGAGAGATATCAAGAGAGAGATATATATCAAGAGAGAGATACAGAGAGATTATAAAGAATGATTAAAGTGGGAAATCATAATTAAAGTGGGAATATATATTATATATACATAGAGAGAGAGGAATAGAGAGAAAGAGAGAGAGAGATATAGCAAGAGAGAGAGAGGGATAGAGAGAGAGAGAGAGAGAGAGACAGATAGAGACAGAGAGAGGTGAGAGAGGATAGACAGACATATATATATAGAAAGAGACAGAGAAAAAAAAAAGAATGAGGGAGAGATTTTAAATTTGTGATATCGTATCCATTTGCATCCATACGTATCCAATGTATTGAAGCCTCTCATCAACAGTCGAGAGATCTGAGCATTTTATAGACATATTTTACACGATTCAACCACTTTCATGATCAATTGAAGATTGCAAGTGAAAGTGGTGCTTTTAGTGGAGAAAACACCGTTTCTGAAGAGCTGATCTGGGGCTCTAATCTCCAGCAAGATGCCGCCGCATCGTCGCCATGGAGTTTGAATAAAAGATGACTACACGTTTACGCGGGAAAAAAGGCGCCAAAGTCCCTAGGTAATAGCACGTTTAGATTCACATCAGTGGAGATGGAAAATCAAACGTCCAATGTGTAAAAAATGAATGAGATAAAAACGGGTGAGAGTCATCAGAATTATCAATTAGAAAAAGCCCACCTGCCCACTGGGTACAGATGTAAATTGAATAGATAAAGCGTGAAAAGGGGCAATGAAAAATTAGTGTCATACTGAATAACGTTCACGATATTGTGGGACTCGCTGGGATTAACAAATTTACGAAATAAGAGAGAAATACGTTGAAGCTTATGTTAATAATTTCTTGACTTTAAAAGTTTCAATCTCTCTCCTATATTAAAGGGGCACGTTCCCGCCAGTGTAGTTATCGGAATATGCCATCTGTGGAAGAGTCGTATTATGTTGGTTTTTAAATAGGCAGCTTTAGCATCGTCCGCCAGCGCGTACGTATTTTGAACGCCCTCTGGAATATGGGGAACATACCTCTTTAATAAATCGGGTAAACGTCACACTAATGTTTACTCTGGCTAAAACCCATGTATAATTCATTAAGAATTTCCGCAGTTGAGCAAGACTGTGTATAAATAGTGTTGATTCCAAACCCCACAATATACACCGATTCGTATTGCAGAAAAATTAACCTTTCCAAGTTTTCCAGGCAGTTTCTCTCACAATGTACATTTAATTGCAGGAACAGAGCTAAAAATTTGTCTTTATACTGCCAGCTGCTCCCATCACGTAGAAGACTCTTTCCGTCTAGGAAGGTGAAACCGCTCATCTTCCCTTCGTGTAACCTCCGTCCTGAAATGCATCATTTTTTATTAATACCCCCTTCACATACACGGATTTTCTTACAAGTTCTTACAGATCGCGCAAATTTACGAATGTTTCACGGATCCTTACGATTTTCCCACTTTTACGACCGATTTAAGAGTTATTACGAGCTATTTACGGTTTATTACGGATTCTTACGAGTTATTACGATGTATTTGCGGCAAAATTCTACGAGTTGTTACGAGTTGCCACGGATAACTACGAGCATATTACGGGCATTTTACGACTTGTTTACGCGTTGTTACGAATTAGTTACGAGTTTTTACGAGTGCTTACGAGTGTCTGCGAGTTGTTGCGACCTGTGACGAGTTTTTTACGGATACCAGCGAGTTATTTACGGATGCTTGCGATTGACTACGAGTTTGGCGATCCGGAAGGACTCGTAAGGAAAATATGTGTATGTGAAGGGGGTATAAAAGAATCCTGAGGCTTCGGAATAATAATTTCAAGTCCGTCTATCCACTTTTCAATTTCATTAACGGAGGACGCGTGAAGGTTACAAAGTGCTATGGTATTAATCATTCAAAATCTATTTAATGCAATTTATTTCCGAATTCCCTTGGTTTTTGGATACCAATTAGCAGTATCTTCACATTAGTAATAATTATTTTAGTACACATAATCATAAACTATTGAGAGATTGTTTTCTCAAAAAAGTGTGATCTAGCCGATAAAAGACCAGCAGTAGAATATTGTTATTGATATATTCAATACAAATCTTCATATATTCAGTTATGCCGGAAACATATAATCAATTTAGTGTCGACTATTATTCTTACCAAAGGTCGTTGAAAATGTAGTGACATCAAATTCAATTGTATATTCTATTATTTTCTTGCCAGAAGACAAAGTACAGCTAATATATCTACCCGAAATTATGCCCCTATACCCATATGCCTGAAATATTTATACTAATTTACGACTTTACTTGATGCAAGGAGCCGTGTATTTCTATACGATGATTGTATGTAACAATGCGAAGTTCAGTCCGAGGCAGTGATGCATTGTGTGCTCAATAAATACCATTATTCAATTGATTTCAATTACATGAAAAGGTTCTTGTTATACACGCTCTTTATATGATTACATGATTTACATATGAATGGAAATACGGTATTTTCAGTCAATTAATCCGTTGCTGGCAGGAATCAACTCCTTGAAATGCTAGAGCACCGTAACGGTAGCCATGCTTAAAGCCGGGGTAATAATTGCAAAGCGCCAGGAGTGTCAAGTCTGACAGTCATGAGTGCTATACAAGAACCCATTGTTATCATTACTATCATTAATCATACTTCCGCTACATTGGGTAATTGAGAACACATTTGTCAACTCATGTTTGAAGAACTATTGTCAAAATTCCTTATGTAAAATTCTTGGCAATGTCAACACGTAATTTGAATGTCATTGCATTGTTGATCTCTGGTCATTGGGGAAGACACACACACCTGGTCCCCGTTGCATAAAACTTAACATTGATGGTAACTTTGCCAACAATGGCAAGTACCATGGTAACAAGGCTCTACAGCCAATCAAAATCAAGGTTTCCATGGTAGTTATACCATTGGTGGCAAGTTTACCACCAATGGTAAGTTTTGTGCAACGGGGCCCTTTTTATTTGTTTAAATTTATGTGAACAAAGATATGTTTTGGACGAAGGTTGAGGGAGGGGGCTGCACCTGACTTGCTTAGCCGTACATTAGTATTTTGTAGTGTGTAATTTCACTTGGCAACACAAGAGAAGAAGAACAAAAGGGGGAATAAAACAAAATAAGAGAAAAGAAAAGAAAAGAAAAGAAATTAAAAGAAAAGAAAAGAAAAGACTACAAAATGAAAAGGAAGAAAAGAAATGAAATGAAAAGAATAGAAAACAAAACAAAAACAAAAGAAATACAAGAAAGGAAAGAATATAAAAGGCACGAAAGGAAAGAAAAAGAAATAAAGAAAACAATCAAAAGAAAGGAAAAGTGACAGTACAATACAGAAAAGAAACACAATTTAAAAAAAAGTAAATGCATATTGCCTTTAAAGGATGTCAAGGCCCCATCAGGAAACACCTTTAACCGTACCTCAAGTTGTGTAATTAAATCTGTGCGTTACCAACGATATCTACGTCATTCGCATTGTGATAAATGACTTCACATTCTACCGAGTTACAAATAGAATTCCTAATTATGTAGGTTTTCCCAAAGCTAACGATTCATATTCATATTTTAGGCCTCTAAATGGGTTCTGCATAATGTAGCCTTGGGAGATATCTACTACAAAATCTGGCTTTCCATTCAACACGAACTCCTGTATTTACGAGATTATGACCACAACAACGCCATTATCGAATTAAAATGATTCCTTTATAATGACAACACCGCCAAATGAAAACAAAACTAAATGGACACAGATCATGATATAATTGAATGTTCTTAATTAGATTCTCGTATTGTTGTAATACACAAATACTGAGATGGAATTGTATTTAATGTTATGGTTTATGCATCGTTTTGCAGGTCATTAGAATATAGGTTTCGTTATCATGGTTAACTGAATTAAAGCAAAGTGACCACACGTCCCTCGTGTTTGCAAACCGTAAAATACAAAGCGATTCCGATGAACATTGATTCCTTTGTTTTATTATGTTTCATTATCCTTTCGTGTGCCAAATTGTTCTGTCTTTCTGCAATCGTGACCGTCTGTATCTTCTGCAGCTGGATGCCATCACAGTGGATTTATAGAAACAAACAAGTTTGCTTTGTTTTTAAAGTTAAAAAATCAAAATGAAAGTTGATGATGATACAGATTACACTATCGACCATCAAGCTGAAATAACTGTTTTTTTACCTGTTTTTATAAAATGATTATCACAATCATTTATGATTTTTTCTTGATAAATGAGGTTATATCTTCTCCGAAATATATTAATCAATCTTTTTCACTCAATGGATTATTCAATACCGGGGATCAATAAAGTTCTGAAGAGATACAAACTTTATCTATCAAGAATAATTCATATTCTCACAACCGCTTTATGAAATGATGTAAGAGATTTTTATTCAATGTTATGGGCAAAAGTGAATATTTCACTATTACGCGAGTCATTTCTGTAAATGGCCATCGCT